AAGACTTTATTTATTTGACAGAGAGAGAGCACAAGCAGGGGGAGCAGGAGAAGGAGAAGCAGGCTCCCTGCTCAGCGGGACTCAATTCCAGGACCCTGGGATCATGACCCGAGCCAAAGGCAGACACTTAACTGCCTGAGCCACCCAGGCGCCCCTTATCTTCTTGATAATACACTCAACATACAGTTTTTTAAAAATCTGGACATGTAAAAAAAATGTTGTCAACAGAAATGTATAACTACATAATTGGAAAGTCAGAAATTTTATATACTATAAGATTCCTGTCATATTTTTTAAAGAGTTCACTCTACAGTGTTAATGATGCAGTTTCTTTACTATAGTTCTTATAATTGAGAATTTATTTTTATCAATATAATTATACAGTTAGAGTGAAGAGTCATAGTGAGAAACTTGGCCTATCTGCTAAACTTAGAATTATATAGAAATTTAGTGCTACAGGTTGAGTCACTTCCATAATATCAAAGGCTTGAATGAGTCAAGAAATAGAATAAATTACAATGCTGAACATAGACTCCAAATATATTTCTACTAACCTATGTTTTAATTATGAAATGTTTCAGATTATGAAAGTGTCAAGAATACTATAATCAACTTCTGTGAACGCAACACTAATTTAAGAGTAATATTATTCCCCAATACAGTTGAAGCCTGCCGTGTACTACATAACTAAGATATTCAGTATTCTAAATTTGAGTTTATAATTCTGTGTTCATTTAAAGTGAAATGAAAAATTTTAAACCCCATATAATAAACTACCTGCTGAATCATTTTTAACTGGAACTGAAATTAGGGAGTAAAATAAAAACCTAAGATATTTCATAACTCTTCTTTTTGACATTAGGCAAAATAAGGGAGAGTTTATCTTTGCTATTCTCTTACCTACCTTCCTTCCCTTCCCACTGCTACTACAAACTTCCTTTTAGATTATTTTACTTAGACCTGTCTTCCCAGTACTGAACCTGTTTACATTTCCTACAGCCACATGTAATATGCATGTAATTGTTTTGAAAATTACTCTGTCTTGTTAGAAGCATTACAAAACTGCATTGGTCTACACTGGGTTGCTACACTGGTCTTCTTCAGGATTAGCATGAGAGCATTTTGGGGCTTATTTACTGATGACATATTAATAAAGGAGATATAATATAGGAGAAATATATTGCATGACAATTAAGTTTCAATCTAACAAGATGGGGTTCCACAGGAAAAATAAATCTTAGACTTGGTTTAATAAATCCATTAAGTATATGAAGGGAAAGCCATCCTTTAAAGGCACTACATGTTGAAGAGTTGAGGTTTTAGTGACTAGGTGAATCAGTGATATGTGGCTGTTAAAATTGCTAAAATCAGACTACATTAAAAAAAAAAAAAAGGATCCAGAACAAGAGAAGTGGTACCACATTTTTTTCACCTCTTGTAGTTAGCTCTAATACTATATAATAATAAACTGCAACTCAGAGCAGAATTACCAGGATAGTAGGAGAAATTTGAAACCGTATCATATGGAAAATGGTGAAGACCCTGGTAATGTTTATTCAGTGCTATTGGTAACAGTTTAAAAGTTAAACAGTTGAAGAGTTATGTAGAATAAGGATTAGATTTCGGCTTAATGCAAAATAAGTTATAAATTCCATTACAAAAATGCAGCCTTATTAAGTCCTCCTTTATTAGCACTAACACAGAACTGAATGGAGGCATGATGGTTAATGAAAATTCAAGGTAAAGTAAGGAGTTGAAATTATATAGTCTTTAAGGTCTTTTCCAACTCTTAGCATCATATAACTCCATAAGGCTAATTCATACAGATATTAGTTAAGGAGATATTGTTATGCCCCTTAGGATCTTTATAGTTTAGTAGACCATAGTGCATTAAACCTAAAAAATATAGTTCTATGCTTAAGAAAAAAAGGTGGTGGGGGGGCAGGTCAAAAAGACACAGAAGCCAACTTGGAAATTATCACTGGGAACTTTGACTTCCAATGGCCAAATCTGGAGAACAATTTGAACAAATTAGTAATGATAATAATGAACTATAAACCAAAGAATATCTGTATGTCCAAAATAATATAATGATTGAATAAATAAATGAAGAAAAAAAATCTTCCTTACAGAATTCCAATAAGTAAATGTAGAAGGGAATAGGGAAGTAGAAAACCACCATGGAACTCCACAGTACTAATTGTTGCAGGGAAAATTCACCAGTGAATGCTAAAATTAGTGGCACTTCTGAACTCGTGGCATATTTAGAGACGGCCACTGTTTCCTGATTTGAAATTAGGAGCAATTACAGCACAGCAATTAGTTTTGACCCAAATGATAGTCATTATAGATTTTGTTAAAAAAAAGTTTTTTCCACATTAAATGATATAAACTTGTGAAATTGGGAAGTTTCCATATTTAATACAACCATTCACCCAGGTGTTAAGACCAAAAAAGCGTATACCAAATCTGACCACTTCTTAACCACTTCATCACAGCCATTTTTCTAGTCTGAGCTACCTCTTGCCTGTAGTAGTTTCCCAACTATTCTTCCTGCTTCCTATTCTTTTACACTTTATTCTCAACATTAGCCAGTAACCTTTAAAAAAAAAACAAAAAAAAAACACAGATCCCTTTAATTTCCTATGTAAAACTATCCAATGGCTTTGTCAAGCTTAGAAGAAAATTTGCATATTACCTTGGCCAATAGAGCCCTAAAAGATCTAACCTTTTCTATTTCTCTGACCTCATTTTTTACCATTCTCATCCTCCTTTATTATTCCTTTCTAGTCCAAAAATCACCTTAGGAACATTAGGGAAGGCTTTCTGAAGTAGGCTCTCCTTTCACCTGCTTAATTTTTTTTTCCATGGCATTTATCACTACATGAAATAATATGTTTTGACTCATTTATTATCTCCAATTTGAATGTAAGCTTGTAAAGGAAAAGATTTTGTCTGTCTTACTTACAAACTATAGCCACAATACCTACACCAGACTGGGCCCTCAAATATCTATTGAATAAATATTTTTAAAATATTGAAGGGTGACGAGTGGGGAAAAAAGCATAAGGCCTGTATTAACAGAAATAGATTTCTATCTCTGAAGTCTGAAGCAAAAATGTAAGCCTTTAAAATGAAGAAAAGCAAAGGAACATTTTTAACTACCTTAATTTTACAAATTCAGTTGCTTAAAAAAACCCTGAAAAATAAATGTGACATTGCTGACTGAATTTGGAGATTATTTGTAATAATCTTACATGAAAAAAAAGTTTTATTCAAGTATAGATTACTGGTTTAAAAATACATGGGAAAAGACAAACATACAAAAGCATTATCATACAACTGATTTCTAAACTCAGTACTTCTGAAATACAAAACGATGATCATTACCCCCCAAAAGTCAGTTTATTGAAACAAACTGATTTTTCAGTTGGTCTATAACTCTTTTCACTCAGTTTTGTTTACAAATATTACTGGACTTTTCAGTTTCATCCCATATCAGAACTTTGTTTTTGACATGTTTCCTTCTCCAAGTAGTTATTTCTTGCAATTAATGTCACAAGATTTCAATATGGTTGCTGCTTTGGAAAGAGTTACCACTTTGGCTTCATCTACAATAAGATCCATGTATTGAAAGGCAAAACATTAATGGGCAAAATATGGGGATTGAGAGCAGGGGGTGTAAGAAAAGGCAATGTTGTCTTTTACTGCAATCCCACTAAAGAAGACTCCATTATTTGCTTGTACTACTGCTACAGAAGCAGTTTCTGCCAGACCACAGGTCGGCTAAAATAGTTGTCCATTTTATGTTTCCTTTTCTAAACAATAGCAGACTTTAACAATTAGATTATCAACCAAATAAGCAGACAGCTTTAAATTACCATATATTTTAACTGTGTGAAATAAATTATTTTCTTAATTGGATTAGCAGCCTTGTGTCTGGAAAGGTAGTAAAACCCACTCTGCTACAAAATTAGAAGGCTGACTCAGAGGCTGTTTATAAGATGCCTGGCTGTCTTATCATCAGTCATGAAGGTGGACTTTCATGAACTCAGTAACTTAATAAATGTAAAAATGACCTCATCCTTTAATACAGTGTTGAGCCAGCAAAACCAAAAATGTACAATCATAAAGTATAAACAAGTATAAAACAAGAGGGAACTATCCTCTTATATACCATAAGAGGAATACATACAGTAATAAAAATGATCTATAATAAACTTGTAAAGAGATGATTCTGGTTTACATGTATGTCTGCTTAAACTGACTGAATGATTGGAAATTTTCTTCTCCTAACATAATGCCCACTTATTATAAGCTAAACTGGTCTTGGTGTCTTATAAATCTCTTATTTCCTTAGATTTATCTACTATACCCTCACTTTACAGCCATTTAACTTATAAGCTGGGCCTGCCCAGCCTGCCTATAAAGCCTCTCTTCAGAAAGATACCACATGCATTATACAGAAGCATCTTCTAGTAAATATCTGCACTTCAAAACAGCATATGAAGAACCAGCAACTGGCCCTCCAATGTAAATACATCTCATTTCACATTATCATGGAAACGTGCAGTTTACTAACCACTCCTTTCTTACAGAAAACTCAGTAGCTGTAAAAATTTTGTTCCATTCCAAAACATTTCAATACTTATTAATTCCAAAGATCCGAACACCATGTAGCTGTGGCATTTTAGGAATTAGCACACTCAGGAGAGAAGCTGTGTTTAGGATGAAGTGAGTTGGATCATACTTCGTATAGAAACTTGCCAGAAAATATCTGCAGAAATAAAAATTAAAAACATATATAACATGTAAAATTTGTAAAAAATTTAAAGCTAAAAAAGGCCACTGAAACATAAACACCTAAAAGCAGATTCACTTTTGAGCACTAAAATAAGAGTTTTACAGTTTGGGGCCTAAATTAATTTGGGATTTAAAAATTTATTTAATGGAGGCATATATGCACATTTTGCATTTCTGCAATTATGTTAAATGCATTTAAAAGAATGTGTTTGCGGGGTGCCTGGGTGGCACAGTTGGTTGAGCATCCAGCTCTCAGTTTTGGCTCAGGTCATGATCTCAGTGTTGTGAGATCAAGCCCTGCATCGGGCTCTGCGCTCAGCATGGAGTCTGCTTAGGATTCTCTCTTCCTCTCTCTCTGTCCCTCCTGCTCATGATCTTTCTCTCTCTCCCTAAAATAAATAAATCTTAAAAAAAAAATGTGTTTGCTACTTAGCATCCTTTAAAACATAAGTCTTTCAAACTAGGGTTCGTATATTCTCTCAAATGTCAGGTATAGTTTTGTATTTATGTGTATGTTTCTGAAGAGAAGATCCAAATCCAAAGCATCTATCGTATTCTCAAACGGTTTTGGGACTGACCAAAAGATTAAAAACTACTGCTATACGAAATGAGTCAATAATCAGAGAAAGACAAGTATCACATGATCTCACTGATATGAGGAATTCTTAATCTTAGGAAACAAACTGAAGGTTGCTGGAGTGGTTAGGGATGGGGTGGCTGGGTGATGGACATTGGGGAGGGCATGTGCTATAGTGAGTGCTGTGAATTGTGTAAGACTGATGAATCACAGACCTGTACCTCTGAAACAAATAATACATTATAGTTAAAAAAAAAAAAAAAGAAGATAGTAGGAAGGGAAAAATGAAGGGGGGCAAATCGGAGGGGGAGACGAACCATGAGACTATGGACTTTGAGAAACAAACTGAGGGTTTTAGAGGGGAGGGTGGTGGGGGATGGGTTAGCCTGGTGATGGGTATTAAGGAGGGCAGGTATTGAATGGAGCACTGGATGTTATACGCAATGAATCATGGAACACCATCAAAAACTAATGATGTAATGAATGGTAACTAACATAAAATAAAATTAAAAAAAACAACTACTGCTATAAAGTTGTGAAAATGGGGTATTAGTACAATTCTATATCTTTGAAAGAAGACAAATACTTGATTGCCCTTTTGATGTTCTCATTTTCATATTGTAGCTGAACAGGTGGACAACCAGTTTAACTGGAAAACTGAAAGACACTGTTGTAAATTTCCAACTACTTTGCTGTAATTGAACATATGTACACATTCAAAGACATTCAACATCTGAGAATTTGTTTTGACAAGCCTAAGCAACCTTTAGGACCATAAATCATCAAGTGAGAATTGTCTAGTTTTACCTAAGGGTACATCAGAGTGCAGACACACCATCTGGCCACTGAGAGTATCCTAATATAGACAGGATGTAAAGACTAAAACATCATACTTTACTTGATCATAACTAAGAAGTTAGTCTGCATATGGGTGTTTGTCTAATTAGTACTATTAAGAGTATACAGGAAAGTATCCTAATAGCCTTTCCTCTAAGTACTGTCATTCATTTCTAGTAAGGGGAGAAAAACATCTTGTGTAATGTGGTTAGAAAAGAACAGCTATTTTAAGGTATGACTAAAAACATCACAGAGAGCTATATATATATCATTTTCAGAATCATCTAAATTGAGGAATTCTGTAATTTTCCACCTATTTCACAAACTATAATCAGAAAATACTTCTGGAGAATAAACCATATCCTTCAATCTTTTGTCTAAATCCTTTCTTCCAACTTTCATACACCTGAAGACTGTTTTTATACTTCCTTCACTGAACAAAATAGGATACCACTTGCATTTAGTAAGCTCACTTGATTTCCCATAATCATTATGGGCTTAATGTATAACCTGATTATGCTGGAAATAGATCTTCTTGGAACTGCTTCTCGTCATACTGTAACATATGTCCCCCTTTATGTCTTTTAATAAAAACTAACTTTATGTGTAAATTATACAAAAATTACTTTGTTCTTACAAAACCTTGACAACCCTCCAAGGGGATGCAAAACCAAGGTGGGAATTGTGTAATTGCCAGTTGCCAAATTTCCATTTGCCAATTTCCAGTTGTCAAAGGGTACACTGGAAAGAGACCTGTATTGAAGTTTAGGATTTCACCTGGGCTCTGGACTCTAACTAGATGCAAGATCTGAAATTAGGTAATGCATTTCAGCCTGTTTCTTTATCTAAAAATCTGGGATAACACTGCATGCCCCACCTACCTGACAAATGATGATCAAATAAGAAAATGTGAAAGCACTCTGAAAAGTATCAATATTATATAGATGACTTTAATGTTGTTTCTTCAGTTATATAAGGAATTTAATCACAGAATATTTGAAATCATACCTGTGGGTCAAAAATATATTTTTAGAAATATGGATGTTGTACACAGGTACATCTTAGTTGACAATTTTGTGACAGATGTTATTGAAAATTCAGTATAAATGTCAGCTTTTTACATTAATTATAATGCAACCCTCAACATTTTATAGATGAGGAAACTGAGGCTTTCAAAGAAATGGCCAAAAGTCACGCAGCTAGAAAGCAGTAGAGCTAAAATCCAAATTTAGGGCTGTTTGTATAACTATTGTTCCGGTTATTGCACTTATCTTTGTTATATCATACAAATCATTTATCTTTTGATGTTAATTTTATATGGGGCTGAAATAAAAATTTAAAAAATTTCCTCAAAGTGCTATCAATATAAGAAAAAAGAAACCTATCACTTTATGATCAATTGATTCTTTTCATTTTAAAATGCCTTCCTTTCTCTGCACATCTATCTAAAATCTACCTTCCCCTAAGTCCCAGTTTAAGGAATCCTAATGCCTCCAAGAAGTCTTTCCAGTTACTCCAGACTGCACTGATTTTATCATGGATGCATTACTATATATAAACTATGTGGTATACAGTGTTTAATCAAGATATACATAAAACATCCATTATATGCATACAACTATACTGAGTGTGGCATTCAAAGCAATCTATGCACTTAGAAATTCTTTGCACAAACAAATCATTTATAATAACAGATAATACAAAGTGGCATAATAAGGTCAAAACAGGTCATTATTACTTAAGGTTGGGTGCTAAGGAAAAGACCTTATTGAGGAGGTAGGATTTAAATCTTGAAAGAAGGATAAATTAAGAAAGAAGGTATTTTGGGTAGGAGACATTATTTGAACAAAGGCATAGAACTAGGACTACACATGAAGTTTTCAAGAAATGCTGCTTAGAAGAGCTTGACCACATGGAAGTTGGATGAGGTAAAATATTCACATAAAGGAAAAATGAGGTAGGAACCATTTTGTGAAGGGTCCTGAATATCAGGTAATAGGAGGTAACTGAAGGTTAAATGCTTTACAAATAGATATTATCTCATTTATTTCTTACGCCATCATACTGAGCTATGTACTACTGGCTAGAATTTCATTATGAGCAAACCAAGCAGGTTGAGCGATAAATAGAGGATTCAACCCAGGTCTGTTCTACGATGAAAGCCTAACTTCTTCTCTTGTCTATAAACTATACAGCAGTCTCTCCCAAGGAGTCTGAACATCTAAATTGGTGGGGGGGGGGGGAGGTGGTCAATGAAATTCATCTGAAATCATCCAAATCCTTGTTTAGGGAGATTAATCTGATAGTGGAATACAGAATAAGATTATGCATTTATCTCTCCTGTAAGCAACTTAAGTATATGAACTAGAATATATTTGACCTGTATATCCTAGAATGTCTAAACATACTGATGGGCACGCTATGTTGTCTCTATATATTATTGAGATAAAATACGGTTTATTACCAGCCTGTTAAAGACTCTGTCTGTATTTCATGCTCTGTGGTAGCTATTCATTGGTAGAGGTTTCAACAAATACTCTGTTTCTCTGTTTCTAATTGAAATTCAACCTAATAAAAGGACAGCTCCCTCTTATCCAATCTTCTTCATACCTAAAAAATTTCCACCACTTACAGAATTATTGGAGAAATTGTAAAAAACTTCCGTGAAGATGTAAACTGTACTCCATAGTCCAGTTGTTCCCAATGAGTTAGGAGCCTTGCTTTACCCTGGTCAGGAGTTTCAAAAGGTGTTCCTTTTACTGCATGCAAAAATACATACATCCCCTGGAAAACAAGCAAGGAGATATATAATCAATATCAAATACAAAATTAGTACTTGTCAGCAAGCATTAAGATAGTTCCAGACTGCTTATGACAGTATGGGTGATTCAACTTAACAACTCAAATTTTAAGCTTTCATATTATTTGTGAAAGGCTGTGGCCAGTTTCTTCATAGTAAAATAAAACTTCCAGAGGCATATGAATATTATTTGGTGAAAACCAGTAAAAGATCAACTGAAAGTAACATGTTTTCATCTCCTATTAAATTGAAAATACACAAAAAAAGAACATCAGGATAGCTTTATATCATTACATTTAGATTTTCTAATACCTTTCCTATTAGGAAACAGGATTATCTTTTATTTTATTTATTTATTTGACAGAGAGACAGAGCCAAAGAGCACAAGCAGGGGAAGTGGTAGAGGGAGGAGAAGCAGGCTCCCCACTGAGCAGGGGGCCCACCGTGGGGCTCGATCCCAGGACCCTGAGATCATGACTTGAGCTAAAGGCAATAGCTTAACCAAATGGTCTACCCAGGCCCCCAGGAAACAGGAGTATCTTATCCCTAATGTGTAGGAATATTTAGTGTCATATTAATAAATCTGATGATACTTACAAAATGATAACATACATTCATAAATAATAATGAAATTTCTGCATCAGGGGAAAATGGTTTTGAAAATATTTATTAAGACTGTCTTGGGCGCCTGGGTGGCTCAGATGGTTAAGCGTCTGCCTTCGGCTCAGGTCATGGTCCCAGGGTCCTGGGATCGAGTCCCGCATCGGGCTCCCTGCTCCTTGGGAGCCTGCTTCTCCCTCTGCTTCTCTCTCTCTCTCCCTCTCTCTCTCTGTCTCTCATGAATAAATAAATAAAATCTTTAAAAAAAAAAAAAAAGACTGTGTCTGTCTCAATAGTTCTAACACAACAAAGATGGATAGTAGATCTAATGTTCAGCTTAATTTGCTTTTAAAATCACCACTGTGCCCCAATAGTGTTTCTTTTGAAGTTAGTTTTTAAGAAGATTTATTTATTTGGGGGGGGCAGAGGGAGAGGGAGAAAAGCCAGATGTGGGGCTCAATCCCTGGACCCTGAAATCATGACCTGAGCCAAAATCAAGAGTCAGATGCTTAACTGACTAAACCATCCAGGTGGCCCTGAAGTTATCTTTTTTGAAAGTAAAAAAACATTACTAAAATCCATTCTGTCTAGGGATATGTTTGAACATCTAATTTTGTGATTAGGAAAAAAACCAATATATATTAGATTTTGTTTCCTTGAAATTATTATTCTATTTAGATCACTGGTAGTACTTCATTGCAGGATCACTGTCTGAGGCACCAGTAACAGAATATTCTTGCCTAAACATTATCATCAGTCTTTCCTCTTAGAAGTCACAATGAGGTGTCATTTTTGCTTCTTCAACTTTTAATAAATATATGGAAAAAAAATTAGTGATTTGAAATTTTATATTACTAACTAGGTGTAGAGAGCCATTCTTTTCAAAGCTGAGTCTACTTTCTAGTTATTCCATTAAGCAATTCAAAAGTTGTTTAGCCACAGTAACACCTAAGCTATATAGCAACAGACTCATGTTCAATTGGATTTAACTCAAAAAGCATTTAATAAGTGGCTTATATGTACAGGACACAGGACATGTATGCCCATATGAAATCGAGTAAGAAATGTTCACAGCCTTGAAAAAAACTCAATCTTTTATAAGATGGTAAGAAAAAAAAAGATATGCATAAGCAACTAGAATGTAGGGTAGAAACTGCTATCAAAGGTACACAGTATAGAGCCAATGCAGAAGAGGGAAAGGTTCTTTGTTGCTAAGGCAAAAGCTGTGATGCTATCTTGTCAACTATCTCATTCTTGAAGGTTCAGCTCAAATGACAACTCCTTAGTGAAGCCTCCCTCATTAGTAGTAGCCTATGTGCTTGTATAGAATTTTATTGAAAATACTTTTAGTTATAGCACAATGTATTTTGTTAGAATTGTTGACATGTTTGTTCTCCCATTAGCCTGAATACTTCAGGAACAAGGGCTGGTACGCAGCAAGTATTAGATATTAAGCCAAGATGACACTAAGCTAAGGAATGTTTATTCTGTAAGCACAAGGAAACCATTTTCACATGGACTTTACAGGAGGCAATTAAAACAGAAATTGTATGCTTTTAAATTCTGAGAAGTATAGGACCCAAAAAAATTAAGAATCTCTAACCCATGCATGTATTAGAATCATCAAAAACAAGTAACAATCCTCTCATTATTTCCTTCAAACTACATGCATCACCAGTGTTTAGAATATTCAAACAGAATATCTTATATATCCTTTTCAGGTAAACAGACTCTTACTGACCATATATCTTCTACCCCAACTATCCCGTAGTTATTCTATAAAATTTAGTGATGGAGGATTTATACCCAAATCAAAAAACTTGGGGAAAAAATATGTAGCTCATGGTTAGCAGTTAATATTTACTGGCTCAAAATGCAGAAAATCCTCATTCATTTTAAAAGCTAAGAATTTTGTGAAATATTAATACCTCTAAAAGCGAACTATAGCCACTGCAAAAATGAATAAAAACAATCACTGTAGGTTTCTACTATATGGTTCAGAAAGGCAAAGACTATTTTTTCTAACCACGGATAACAACTAGGTCTATTTTCCCATTTAAAAGCGTTCAGTACGTATTTCACATTTTATTGGTTTAACGTACTCTGTCTTCAAAAGAAACAAATCTGGAGTCATGTTAATTGCTACATCAATGCCTGGTAGTTAGGGTTTTAGTGTGGTGAACTAGTAAGTCAGAAGTTCGCTTCCCTTATGCTTTGCTCACACCCATATACTGTGCTTCAAAATCTCAGTCAACTAACTTGAAAACATCTAGGCAAGGGGAGGGGGTGACTTCTAAAGTACATTTAATACATGTGCCATTGGAGAAAGGAAAATTATATGACAATACAGACTAATTTAGCAAACATTTACATAGGTCTTTAGAGACACGGGAAATAAAGAGACAAATTCCTAATTATAAAACTATGATAAATACACTTAAAAGAATGCAGCATGGGAGTTTTGTAGCTTCCTGGAGAAGGAGATATTTGAGTAGTTTTCCTGGACAAGTAGGAATCAGCCCAGCAAGGGGGGTGGGTATTAAAATAGTGGAAAAAGAGCCTAAGCCAAAGCAAAAAGGTGAGAACAAGATAATTTTCATTATTGTTAGAGCAATACTCATGTTTGGAGATGGGATGAGATAAGATTGAGTCCTTTTCTTGCCTGTGTACTGTTATCAACTGGTCTCATATGCCACATAAGGAACTTGTTATTTTACTATGAATATAATAAGGAATCACAGAAGGACTTAGAATATGACTTCAGCATATATGAATTTTGAAAATAACTCTCTGCCAAGTTGGAATGGAGTACGGTAGAGGAACATCAAGGACACCATTTGATCTACTGGAGTAATCGACCTGAGGAAAAAATAAGGGCACCAATTATAGCAATGCCAGTGGGGATCAAGTTGAGAGACAGTAAAGCAGTAAAACAGGGCTTTGACTAAAAAGATATGGAATACAGAGGAAAAGGAGTTAATCTAAGACTAGAGTGACCATATATACTAGACAGCATGAATGGTCCTGATTTACACCTATTTTCTTGGAGTAGTTATTACTAGAGCTCCTTTTTACTCTCAAAACAGTCTCAGTTTGGATAATTCATTACATGAATCACTTCACCTTTGACATTCAGGTATCTGGCTTGCCTTACTGGGCAGACAGTGGTGCCTTTAGATTAGATCAGGAACAAAGCCAGAGGAACAGGTTGTGAGTGGGAAGGGACAGATCAGGAATGAGTTTAATTTATAACTGTTTGGCTTAAGGTACAAGGTGATCTGCCAATTTTAATATGAGCATCATCATTCTACAGGTAGAAACTGAAAATACAGATAGATGAAGTAATCTTGATAGAATACACAGAATAAAAAGAGATGAAGAAAAGAACCTTGGGGACAGCAATATTTAGGAGAGGAAAACAGAAGGAAGAATGTGCAAGAAAGAGAAAAGGAAAAATTAGAAATATATCTAAGAAAAAGTGATCTCATGGAAGCCAAAGAAAAGGAATTCTGGTAAGAGGGATATAACTCTTGTCAAATATTTCAGAGAAGTCACTACTTAAAAATAGCCCTACCAAAGTCCATCGCATAAAATGGACTAGGTGGACATTCATTTATTTTTACCACCACATTATCCTTGTCCTCCTCCAATCAAATTCAAATACTCTTCAAAAAATAGGAAATAAATAATATTAATTTAAAAAAATCTGTTTCTCCTACATTTTCCTGCCTTAATGTTCCAAGTTCTTCATTTTCTGGATACCTTTAAACAAATATATAATTAATCTGGATTCCATTAAAAGTCTCAACTAATGGATTTCTCCCCTTTCATTCTGCTTTCATAGACTGTTAAAGACAAGAAAGGTCACTATTAGTTTTTTTTTTTATAATTTTTCCAGGGCTGCATAATATAGTCAGTAGAATAAACTGAACCACTGTGGGATACTTTGCAGAACTATCCTATAATACAGAAGAACCACAGTCAACATGAAAAAGCTAAGGCACCATAAGATCCTCAATCACGTAAGATATGATGAAGCTCAAAATTTCTATACTGAAGAAGAAGAGTATATATATACAATTTAGAAAGGATTGAAGTTTAACAAGGATTGAAATCAAAGATGGTTATTAATCTCCAGTTAATCAAAAACCATAATTACTTCTGAAGCATTCTGGTTAATCAGTACATTAGTAGCTTGAATTACAGTGTCTTGTAATTTTTGCTAAAATGACCTACTATTTTCTAGATTCCATAAAACCATAAAGAGGAAAAAAAAGGTCTTACTTAGAAAAAGGGCTCAATGTTTAAATATAAAGTATTAATAGAAAAAATATAATCTTATCCCAGACTAGAATTCAAAATTGTCACATATATTAAAAATCACTAAACTGTACACTTTTAAGTCAGTGAATTTTATATATTATGTAATTATGAATTACATCTCAATAAAACTATTAAGCTATGTCATGTTTTTCTTCTTTATAGCATAAAGCTTTAAGCTTTTTAAAAAAATTGTTTAAATACACATAACATAAAATGTACCATTTTAACCACTTTTAAGTGTACAACTCAGTGGTATTAAGTACATTCACATGTGGATGAACACTTGGGTTCATTAAGTACATTCACATTGTTATGCAACCATCACCACCAACCATCTCTAGAACTCTTTTCATCTTACAAAACTGAAACTGTACTCATTAAACAGCAACTCCCTATTTCTTCCTCCCTCAGTCCCTGACAAGCACTAAACCTTAGGCTTATAAGTGCTTAGTATAAAGTAAAATTCTTACCAGATTATGTATAACATTTGTTAAGGTCCAAGCAACAGGAACACTGAAGAAAGGAATGCTGAGTAGGACAATATGAAGCAAGCCAACTCCTAATGCATAGGTCAGCCACATACCCCGGCTGTTCATTACACGGGTATTTGGATTCACCTCACTGTGGGCAACTCCAACATTCATGTTTGCTCTGTAGGAAAGCAATGAAATGAATCAACAATGATATAACTGGAAACCTAAACATTCTTTATTCTGACACGACAAAATAAGTGTTACTAGGATCATTTTTCTCTAGTTCTGAAATAGAACAAACACATCCACCAAAATATGCTATTTGCAGATGCCAATGAAGGCAGTAAATAATTCTTAACATCTGACTTCATGGTAAGACAAACAAAACTTATTTTTATGGCTCTTATTGAAAAAATAAATTAAAATCCCTTTCCTAAAGCTTGTCTTCTAGCATGTTGGTTTTACTAAATGAAATAATGGACAGGAAAACTCAAACTGAAAGAGAAAACCTACACTTTCTTATATCATGAAACCAAAGTGAAAGCTCAGGAGCTAAATGTACAGAATAAAACTAATATAAAAAAAGCAAAGCTGCAGCATTATTTACAATAGCCAAGATACGGAAGCAACCCAAGTGTTCACCCACATGTGAATGAATAAAGATGTATGTGTATGTATGCATATGTATGTATACTAGAGTATTACTTAGCCATAAAAAAAATGCAATCTTGTCATTTGCAACAACATGGATGGACCTAGAGGATATAATGCCAAGTGAAGTAAGTCAGAGAAAGACAAATACCATATGATTTCACTTACATATGGAATTTAAGAATCAAAACAAAAAAAAAAAAAGAGAGACCAAAAAACACTCTTAAATACAGAGAACAAACTGGTGGTTGTTGCCAGAGGGGAGGTTGGTGGGGGGGATGGGTGAAATAAATAATGGGGATTAAGAGTACACTTATCCTGATGAGCACTGAGAAATGTATAGAATTGTTAAATCATTATATTGTACACCTGATACTAATATGTTTGTTAATTATACTTGAATTAAAGACAAAAAAAGGCAACGTGGATCCACCCAGTCTATTCTGAGTAGCCAGATTCTTATACCTAATGTAATGTAATGTTTCCAAAGAGTGGTCAGGTTCACTTCTTTTTAAATACTGAACCCGGGAGGAACATAATGTGGCGAAAAATTTACATGGTCCAGGGATAAGGTTTGTTTCTCAATCTCATGATACAGTAAGGTTAAAACAATGAGTCTTTCCTCCTTTAACTCTTCAACTCCCCTAAAATTCTCGGGTTTTTTTTTTCTTTTTCTAAGTTTTTCCCTTTATTGCATTCAAAATGAACACCAAAGGAAGAACGGATATTAGTTCCCAGTTATTTTAAGGCTGACGTTTCCTTGGTTCTAAGAATCCCTCGAACAAAATACAGCTGTCCTGAAGAATACCTATCATCTCCAGTAAAAACCAACCAGTGAGACCGAAAGGGGGGTGGAATGGTTAGAGTATATTTGGAACAGGTCTGATTTACTAGTACATGAACCCTCTCTATTATAGAGTTGGCATTAAAGGAGGAATTTCTCATAAACCCATCCAACAAGTGTTTCCGGAGTAAAATGTCGCATTCTCTCTCCAAAAATCTATGGAACACGCATCAAGGCTTATGATGATGAAAGCTGGTTACACTAACAGGACACAAATGTCTCAAGTTAACGTGTGTAAATATTTCTTCTAATCTAAATATCTATTTTATTTTATTTTAATTTTTTAAGATTTTTATTTATTTATTTGAGAGAGAATGAGATAGAGAGAGAGCATGAGAGGGGAGAGGGTCAGAGGGAGAAGCAGACTCCCTGCTGAGCAGGGAGCCCGATGCGGGACTCGATCCCAGGACTCCAGGATCATGACCTGAGCCGAAGGCAGTTGCTTAACCAACCGAGCCACCCAGGCGCCCTCTAAATATCTATTTTACATCCTCCATTCGTTTCATAAGCTATAGGTTATACTTAGAAAATGCCAAAACTCAAGATACTTTTCCCATTTCCCACAGGATGGAAAGAAAAAAATAAAGCTCGAAAGAGGCTTAAAATTTCTATCTGAGCTGGAAGGCAAAGCTGGTGTGGTACTGACCCTACCCCAGTTCAGAAAACCTTCCCAAGGATTCTGCCGCGCCACTTCAGGACTGGCAAACAATGACTTCCGACTGTTAAGAGCCTCTCGGCTCTGCCTAGGCGAGTGTCTCAAGGACGGCGACCGGTCCTCTTGGGGACTTCCTCGTGAGCCAGAAAATCACGGGCAGCCCCTACCGCCGCAGCCCCTCCCCCACTCGCCCCTTCCCTCTCGGAGCTGCACATCCCACCAGTACCAGGACAAGATGACGAGGATTTTGGGTGCAAGCCTCGGGGGCCACTTGGTCCGCACCGGCAGAGCGGAGCCGCGGACGCAGCCGTAGTCCACTTTTTCCCCTCAAGCCTACCCTGACCCGCCAACAGCGCCTTACCGCCGCAGACAGCAACACAGCCCCTACAGACGCTCATACCCACTCACCCGCCGCCCCACTGCCGGCGGCCAGCTCGGAACACAACCGGCTCCGCGGCGACGGCGTCTCTTCAAGACCGAATGCCTAACATTAGCCGCAGAACAGCGCAGCGTAGCGCAGCTTGCGGAAGCGTTCAGAGCCGAACGCGCCGCCAGGGGATTGGCTGCGGGGAGCGCCAATCCCACGTTCCCCGGGCAGGGCGGGACTAAGTGCTGCGCGCCTACTGCCCGCCCAGTCGCGCGCTGGGGGAGAGTCCCGGATCCCCGAGGTTGGGCCTGTGAGTTCGGCGGGACGCTGGCTGGTCAGCTCGTGGATGGTAATTGCCCTCCTGCCGCGAGCGCGAAGGTAGTGTTGTGTGTCTAACGGGCATTCATTCTTACCTTCTCGTAGGCTCGAAAGCCCTTTACCTTCAACTTGTCCCGTTTGGCGTGAGAGCGCCACTGGCAGCCTTGTGCCTCCTGCCCGCTCCCTCCCGCCCCCTCACAAAGGAGGGGCGGGAAGCGGACGGAGCCGGGCTCGTGGGCGCGCACGCGTGGAGAGCGGTCTTTAAGCAGGGCTCGGTCGGTTTCTCTCTGTTTTGGCCGTGCCTGATTAAATCGTGTTTGGGCCTTCGTTGCAGCCCATTTCCCAGACAGCCCATTTCCCAGAACCTTCTGAGTGCAGGATTTAAAGTTATTTGCCAGGCAGACATTTTAACTCCGGGCAGCCATAACTCGTGAATGTAGTATATTGTATGTTGTGGCGACATACAAGTGATGCGAGCCGACTCTCACTTAACCATGATTTTTACTGGTGTCATTTTGGGTTTAGCCACACGTTGAAGACAGGCCCTTGTATGACATGCTGAGGAAATGTGAATTCCAAAAATTGATCTTATTTGAGAATGGAGAGAAGAGGCCAGATTATTTGGAATTATCTTTGAAATCGAATTTCATTACCTTGGCAGTTCGCAAAGTTTATGAATTGTATTGCTGAAGTGACTTGCAATATTTGAAAATTGGTGTGGGATAAGTTTGACTATATGTATCTTGCATTTCTGTTGGCTCTCTGAAAACAATTGGGTTACATTTATTGTTTTTAAAGTAAATTATTTCATTGTGTTTTCCTGTAGCAATGCTTCTCTGCTTCTTTTTTAGGTACCTTGTTGTCCTTAACTGACTTTCCTGGGCGATACTTTTTCAGGAGTGTTTGCTTTCCCTCCCAGCAAATATGGAGGAAGACTGATTCCTGATATTCTCACACATTCTGTGCCGTGATGTAAGCCTGATAACTCTTTCACTTTTCAAAAGGTGTCATTTGGCACATATGGTAGAATGCTTGCCATGTTCTACAGGTTATGCTAGCGCTATGAGATTAATATAAAATCTCTGTCCTCAGAGAACTCTGAGCCAGGAAGAAGAGACAGAAAAACAATAGTTAGAATAGCCTATGATGAGTTTTGGATTGGAAAAAAGGAAAACGTGCTGTGGGGATACACAGGAGTGAATGCCTAATCTGTTGGGGTGGGGAGGGGTCAAAGTTGGAGCCGTTAAGAAAGGCTTCCTTGAGGAGGTGATACTGTACTAAATCTGGAAGGATGGTTAGAAGTCTTTGGTAGAGAAAGAGAACCTTGTGAACTAAGGAACGAGTCAGTGCCACCACATTAAAAGTGTAGGATGATAAGTTTACTGTGTATTTGGGTAATAGTGGGATAAGATCAGAAAGGTAAAGGTCCAGTTGTTAAGGATTTTGGACTTCACCTGATTAGCAGTTAGAACTCTCTAAAATCTTAAGTAGGATAGCAACATGATGAGATTTAAATATAGAAAGAACCCTATCATTGGTTGAGATTTGAGGCAAAATATCAATTAGGTGGTTATTGTAGTACTTCAGGGCAGAAATGTTCAGGGGCTGAACAGAGGTTATAGGTATAGAGAAGAGAGGACTAGTTTGAGAAATATTTAGGTAGTAGGATAGATAGGACTGAGTGGCAGGATGTAGAAAGTGAAGAGAATTTCTAGGATGACTTCAGGATTTCTAATTTTGCCATGTAAGACTGGATGAGCATGGCCTTTGGAGTCAAACATGCCAAGATACGCAGGTGTGCATCTGTCACTGACTAGTTTTGTGATCTTGATCTTGTAACTTTCAAATTTCATTTGTGGTAGAGGAATGATAGGGCTGTTGTGGGGATTAAAATGGGATTTTATATATATATGTAAAATTACTTATGGTAGCTGTTATTTTTATTATCAAACAAATATAGGAACAAAAACAGTTAAATAGAGAAAGATCTGAGATCGGTTTGGGACATGTTTAAGTGTAAGGTTCCTCCAAGTTATCTAAATGATGATATTTAGAAGGTTCTTGGAAGTGAGGTCCTGCAGTCCAGAAAAAAGTCTGGTTAGGAGATATAGGTGAGATAGGAGCTGATATGGAAGCCAGTTAAAATAGAGTTTATAAATGGAATATTATGCAGCCATCAAAAGGAATGAGATCTTGCCATTTGCAACGACGTGGATGGAACTGGAGGGTATTATGCTGAGTGAAATAAGTCAGTCAGAGAAAGACATGTATCATATGACCTCACTGATATGAGGAATTCTTAATCTCAGGAAACAAACTGAGGGTTGCTGGAGTGGTGGGGGGTGGGAGGGATTGGGTGGCTGGGTGATAGACGTCGGGGAAGGTATGTGCTATGGTGAGCGCTGTGAATTGTACAAGACTGAGGAATCACGGATCTGTACTTCTGAAACAAATAATGCAATATATGTTAAGAAAAAAAAGAAGAAGAAGAAGAAGATAGCAGGAGGGGAAGAATGAAGGGGAGTAAGTCGGAGGGGGAGACGAACCATTAGAGACGATGGACTCTGAAAAACAAACTGAGGTTTCTAGAGGGGGGGGGGGTGGGGGGATGGGTTAGCCTGGTGATGGGTATTAAAGAGGGCACATTCTGCGTGGAGCATTGGGTGTTATGCACAAACAATGAATCATGGAACACTGCATCAAAAACTAATGATGTAATGTATGGTGGTTAACATAACAATAAAAAAATTATTAAAAAAAATAGAGTTTATATAAAGGGAAGGAGTTAAGGCAGTGGTGACTTGCTAGGAAGGAGGACACTTCCTAATGTTTACATTGAAGTGCTGATAAAAATTTTTTTTGGCCCTTGATTAGTATTCTTCCAAGTGCTTGTTGTGAGAGAAGTACTCTGATTATTCTGTGTCGCATCCAGAAATAAATAATATGTAATTGCCTGCTTTCAGAAGTTGTACAGGTCAGGACAGGTGTGATAAACATTCCACCACTAATGCAAACCAAGTTCTTTAGGAATGTAAGGGGAGGAAAGGATCATTCTTGGTTGGGTGATCAGAAAGGACCATGTTACAAGTGGCTATGGAACTGAGTCTAGAATGATAGGATTGCACTAGGAGGAGAGTAGAGTATGGGATTGCTGGCAAAGGAAGATTGAGGTTTTTGATCTTAGTCACTAAGAATAGTGTTTATTAAGGGAAATTGCAAAGTGAAGTAAAGGGTGTGGGTAGGGGAGCAGGAAGATAAATTCTGTTTTACAGATAATTATCTTGAGGTAGCATTAGACACATTGTTAGAAATGCCTGTTTTAATGTGGAAAGAGAGAGATCTCTGTTGGGGATATAGTTTTAGAGGTTAGTTTGGCTTCATAAAGAAAGAAGATAATCATTGGGGTAATAGGGTTGAGGGAACAATTTTTTGTTTGTTTTTGCTTTAAAGGTCAAGATGCCTAAGGGCAGAAATTAGATGAAAGTTCTTAGGAGAAGAGACATTGACCTGGGAGTCAGGGAAGAAGAATGTGGGCAGAGGTGTTAACATTTTAAGAAACCAGAGGACACAGTGGGGTGGAGGAGGTAAGATGTGTGTGAAGATAGGGTTCATGATATGGTCTGCCTTGACGTCAGTATTGGGACGAAATTAGGGACTTGGGGTAAAAATAGATTTTGAAAGAGAGATTGTAGAGAATGAGGCAAAAATGCTGAGGTTAAGGAGATTGTTCAGAAAGAGTAAAAGATGAGGCAATGCTAGGTTTATACCCAAAGTTTGATCAGTGTTTTCTTAGATCCTTGGCATTCTCAAACTAAGGTAGAAGACCTCTTGAACCCAAGCCTGATCTGATTGCAGGCCATGGGTTAACCCCTGTGGGAGTAGGGATTAGAAGATGGGGGTGGGGAACCTATTCTTTGAGAGTTTAGAGGAACTCAGTGTAGTCTACGTATCCCAGGATCTTTAACATGTGTATGCCAAACACTGTAATAAGTTATATTCATTATCTTATTTACTGCCCACCACAATCATATGATATTATCTCCATTTTTGTAGATTAGACGATTGAGTTTTAGACTTTAATTATTAGCATTATATAATTATTAGCATAAGAGCTAGGATATAATGAAAGTGATACGATTTCAGAGCCTGCTTTGTTAACCACTTCTCTGTACAGCACTGTCGAATAGAACTATAATGTATGCCACATTTATATAATTTTAGATTTTCTTGTAGTCACATTAAAACAAGTAAAAAAAGTGAAGTTAATTTTAATAATATATTGAGGTAAGCGGATATATTCAGAATATCATTTCATCTTGTAGTTAATGTAGAAAATTAATAAAAGTTTATTTTTTTTTTTCATATTAAGTTTGAAACCCAGAGTGTATTAGAACATCTCAATTTTGAGTTGCCACATTTCAGGTGCTCAATAGTCACATTTATCTAGTGGCTACCATATTGGACAATGCAGCTCTATATTCTTAGACCAGTGTGCAGTCTGAATCTTGGGTAGCATGCAGAGGGTGCCTTTTGCTTGTGACAGTACTAATTTGTGTGAATGGTAGAACTGTGCAGCAGCCTACCTGTCCACATTTTTTCCTGACTGGAAAAGCCTCCCAGCCCTTGAGAGCCACAAAAACTATTGAGAGGTAGTTGTTTACAGCTGCTCTCCCTAAAACTGTACCCCAAAACTAAATCAAATATATAGCTTAATTAGAAGTTAATTGCTGGGGTGCCTGGGTGGTTCATTCGTTGGCGTCTGCCTTCGGCTCGGGTCATAGTCCCAGGGTCCTGGGATCAAGCCCTACA